AAGGTGGACATGGCGAGCCCCAAAGAGGGGGAGCGCCATACAGGACTATTGGGAAGCCCAAGGTGGGTACGGCAAGCCCCAAAGAGGGGGAGCGCCATACAGGACTGTCGGGAAGCCCAAGGTGGGCATGGCGAGCCCCGAAGAGGGGGAGCGCCATACTAGGAAGCTCAGGATGGGCGCAGCAGATGCCAGCAAGGGCGTCACTTGTGGGGTGCATAAATCCTAGCCCCGGGGAGGGGGTGATTACTGAGGAGCCCGAGAGGGGCGATACTGAGGAGCCCTGGTAACAGGCTAGCACCACGGAAAACCCAGGACAGGGGAAGGGTGCTACGGTGGACCCAGACAGAAAGGGTTAGCAGCACAGCGTCCCAGGAGAAGGGCAAGGTGCTGCGGTCACCCTGAGAGGACGGGGAGTAGCAGTGTGGTGAGCCCGGGATTAGAGAGGGTAGTAGTGCGGTGGGCCCAAAAGACCAGTGGCTAGAGAGGAAGTCCCAGAGGGGACTCCCCTATTGGAGAGAAGGCCCAAGACCGGGCGTGTATTTGGACAGGACAACGTCTTTCCCATCAGCGAGTCTTGGGGCGTGGTATTAGGGGCTGGTAGGAGCCACGCGTAGCCCATAAGGCTAGGGTGCCTGGGGAGCACCCATTACACTGGGAGACCACCAGGGGGTCCAGGAACACACAGGGACAGAGGTCCCGAGTAGCCGTGCCCAGGGATTCATAGCAGCCTCCCGAACCTACTGAACATCAAAGACGTGGCGGGTGAGAATAAAAGGATGCCTTGGGCCGGCCTTGACACGGAGCGAGGGACCTCGAGGAGATCACGGCGCTCCTAGAGGACCCCGCCGTGACAGTGTGCGCAAGGGAATTCATGGTTCCAAGGGCCCTGATACAGGCTGCTAATGTGATGCAGACTCTCTTGGTCATGATGCTTGCGGAGTGTAAGGGATGACAGATGGCCAGGTACCTGTCAAAAGCCATTGCAGTGAAGAGAACAAGCTCTGTTGCTGCTGAGGAGGTGAAGGTAAAGAGCTGAGCCATGCAGCCATTCAAGGAGATGGTTTTCTTTCCCAGTATCAGGTTCTGCATCATTTTGGGCAGAACGGAGGAGGTGCAGACAATGTCAATTAAAGCCAAGTTAGCAATGAAAAAGTACATGGGTTTGTGCAGAGGCAGGTGGAGGACAATTGCCAGGATGATCAAAGAGTTGCCTATAATCGAAGCCATAAAGAGGCACAGGATGATCCCAAAGAACAGACCTTGGAGGTGGGGATGTTCAAAGAGCCCCTCCCTGATGAACTCAGGCACCCTTGTGTGGTTCTTGGTTGCCATTTACTTGGGCATTTCTTCTGAAAGAATGAAAATGAAGATGTACATTATTGCAGCCAACTGACAAGAAAAATTATGGGAAAGCCTAAACCTACGAATGAATGAAATGAGGTGTGGATTGATAGATAAACAGATAATAATGGCTGAAAGTATTTCCAAGTATCTAGCTATCCAACCCAATATCTTGGACAGGTACACCTGAGATATGGTCTGTAACCCGGATCCTGGCTGAGAAGCCACATCATCCAGCACTGGGTCTTAAGTTGATCCATACACCAGGGAGGACTAAGGCACTGAGGAAGGGACTGGTAGCTGAAGGTGGTGGGCAGCCTGCCGTTCTAAAAAGTTCTATGGTCTATACCAAAATTGAGCAATATAAAAACATGTGATCTTACAAAAAATAAATAAATAAGCCAAACCTTTTCTTTTTTTTTCATTTCCCAAAACCACATTCCCCTGATTTTGCAGTTGTGACAAGGGTAATAACAATCAGTTGGGTCTTAACTGAAGCCACGTTATATTAGATTAGTGATAGGAGTATTCAGAAACTCACCCGAGCTAGACACACCGTACAATCTGGAACACTGTTCATACAACCACGGCTTAGAAGTAATACATGCTCCACCATCTATATTAGCTTAAAATTCTGATGTGGTCCAGCTGAGCAACTATTCATAGTGTAATAATATCTATATTTAAGGGAAAACAAGACATACAAAGAGAGGTCTCTACTTTCCTTTAAATCAGGAATCATTCCCCTGAAATGACACAGTCAAAATCTCCCTTCGTTAGAGTGGTATTCATGAGCGTCTTTTAAATGGCAGGAGAACAGAAGCCACAGAATTTAATCTGGTTTTTGTTTTGTTTTTTGTTCGGCTGTCCCACAAGTACAGGCTCCTGTATTTTCATATATAGCAAGAATTTCAGGATGACTTCAATACCCGCTTCTCTAGTGCACGTGTTATTGTCTGCAGCATTCCCTCTTCTTACAAGCTGCTACATTGCTGGTGTTGAATATGCTCCCCCACCATCTGAAATGGGCTCCATTGTGTAACATGGAGAGTCAAAGGGAGTGTGGATAAAAATGGTGAAAGTAGGAAGACTCCCATGGCCAATATTTCTCAATCTTCAGGAGATCTTCCTAGAACAAGTCTGGTTAACCATTTGCACCTTTTGCATCACTTTACAGATTAAATGCAGACTCTTTCAGCACTCATCCTCTTTCCTGACTCTTTTTTCATTGACACCACCATTATAGTGTTGTACCACCTATAATCTTCATTTGTCACTGACACCACCATTATGGTATTGTACCACCTATATAATTATTATATAGTTATACTTATATAACTATCAATTATAGTATTGTACCACCTATAAACCTATATTGTACCACCTATAATTTGGATTCTGACCGCAGTGAAATCCACAGGAACCCGGGTGATGGCTGTGAATTCAGACCAGATTGGCACATGTGTAACTCAGATCAGATTGCAGATCAAATGTCCTTAACTCACCTGAAGAAAGTGTATTTCTAGACAGGACAGTGAGGTACATTTCAGAGTAAGTAACCACAAAAATAAATGAAAAAATATAGGAGTGGAACTTAGTGCGTGTGCGCATGTGTGTGTGCTTGCGCACGCGAGAGAGAGAGCACCCATTTATACTTAGTCTGTATATATTATCATGTACACACAGAAAGGAGTCTGATCTCAGGAAAACAATGGGTATCATTTACCTTATAAAAAACCCAGGAAGGAAGAAAAGGAGATGAAATGAATCAAGAAAAAACTCACTTCTCTGTAGATCCACACAGATTAATTCTTTACAGTGAAGGAGACAATTTAAGTACTGACTCCAAGTGAATTGTAAATTGATTAAGATGATTCACATTTCAAAGGACCTCCTTCTACAAAAAGTTCTCCAGTCCCTTGTGAACCGGTCTAAGATTTCATTCTCAAACAATGCCCCAAAAGGGAAGAAAAGTGTGCCTAACTCAAACTGGTTGGAAAAATATTCTCCATTAAGCTGGCAAAATACCTCTAGGAGGTTTTTTTTTTTATGAAGGTATCTCTCCTTTTATGAAATAACCTAAAGGAAATATAATTTCCTCCTACTTTTCTTTGTAAACCTGATCAGGTTTCTATCAACACAGGCAGATTTCATCTTAATCACTCAGGAAGAAAGGATGACTTCTCAGGGTGCAATGCTGGACTCTTATTAGATGAGTGGTAGTTATGAGAGTGGCCTATATTGAACCTTTCATCTAATATGGTCTCTGATCACTGGGACAGATTGCAGCTGATCTGTTATCCAATCCACCTTTCCACTCCAGGATACCTAGCATGCAGTGCCCCTGCTAATACCATGGGTGCATCACCTTCCAATTTCCTGAAGCCTTACTTCTTAATTGGCCTGGAAAGTCAGTTGGCCAGACTGCCATCTTGGAGGGAGGAAATAGTGCAGTTCAGTAAATGCAATGGGCTAGACTCTGAACTGAAGTTAAAGGGGCAGCGGGGCAGGCCCTACGAAAAGAGGCTAAAGGGCCTGAACCTATTCAGCCTCCACACGAGAAGGCTGAGAGGGGATCTGGTGGTGGTTTACAAACTCACTAGGGGGACCAGCGGGAATTGGGGGAGGCTCCGTCCCCCCAGGCACCACCCAGGGTTACTAGGAATAACGGCCATAAGTTGGCTGAGAGTAGATTCATGCTGGACATCAGGAGACATTACTTGATGGTTAGGGCTGCCAGGCTCTGCAATGGGCTCCCAGGGGCTCGGGCTGCAGGGGGTCGGACCTGATGATCTCTTCTGACCCTAAGTATTTTGATACTATGATAAAACAATTTAATTTATCAATTTCACTCTATTTACCCAACCCCAGGACTGATAATCACTGGGTAGAAAATATGAAGTCAGGCACAATGCTGACAAATTGAGTCTCAATATTTTAATACTGAAAACCATAGGCAGGAAAGCATGCTTCCTCTGAATCTCATGACTGCAAGAGTATTTGGAAGACCGGTGATACCAGGAGAACACTCCTTTGACTTTTGTAACCCGGGTGGCGGCCCAATAGCTTCCACCCCTGCCCAATACCAGGGATGGTGTGGTGAGAGTGGGGCAGGGCTTCTGGCTAGCAACAATTTACTTCCCAGCCGGCCCCTGCTCCCCACAGAGCAGCCCGTGGTCCCAAGGTCTAACACTTAACTGATTTAATGATTTACACTTTATTTACAGAACAAGAATAATAGGAAAGGTTACTTACAAGTGAACTTCATTCACAAGACAAACTCGAATATATTAGTCAACCCTTGACTCAAGACCCGCAGGTAGGGGAACTGGCAGCTTTCAGCTGCTGCTGAGGTGCTATCAGAAGGAAGCAAGGTACTCACTCCCAGCAGCTCCTACAGGCTTCCCAATAAGCGACAGACTGCAACAGGTTCAGCTCTCCTGGTCTGCAGCAATCAAACTGTATCAAACCCCAACCCCACAAACAGGCTGAAGGGTGACCCTCTGTGGCAACCAAAAAAGCAAGCAACAGAGTAGGCTCCTGCAGCAATCAGCATGACCCAAGCACAAAGCTCAGGGATGGCATCCGATGACCATCAGCTGCAGAATAAGGGACAGGACTGAGTCCCCTCTGGGGCAGTCAGTGGCAGAGGGTCAGCAGCACAGGCAGCTCCCAGGGGTCGCTGCTCCAAACCCCTGCGCATCCCACAGGCCTCACGGCTCGCCAATCCCGCTCCAAGCGCCGGCCTGTGCCCTGAGCTCCCAGGGACTCTTCTCCTGGCACTCTGCTGCTCCTCAGGATCCCAGTGCCTTGTCTGCTGCTGTCCCGCTTCCCCAGGAAAGGTGAGGGGTTTCCTCAACTCACCAGCCCAGCTCCCTGCTCCGGATAAGGATACTGCCTGCGCTCCTGGCTGCTGCTGCTTCTCCGCAGTGCAGTGGGAGGTCAACTGCCACCCCTAGCCCCTGGGATGCCCGGCATGTCCAGCACACTGCGATGGGGCCTTGGGCAACCAGCTCTCTGCCCCAAGCCCTGGCCACACCTTCAGCCCTGCTGCAGGGCTGGAGGCACGGCCGACTGCCCCTGCCTTCTTATCCCAGGGCGGTCAAGGCTCTTCAGAGGGGTCTCTCTGCTTCCTGGGCTGGGTCAGCTCACCCCAGCTCTTCTTATGCCTCCTGTGTAGTTCCCCACAGTCACTGTCAGCAGCCCCCACACCAGTTTGGCTGCTGCTTTTTTCCCCTCTGGCAGGCCCTCCCTTGCTTCTTGCAAACCAGCCAGCCAGGGCTCAGGGTGGCTGGCCCCCAACCCCGGCCATCCCCCTTCCATGCAAATGAGGGGATTGAAAACCCCTTCTTTAGATTGGCTTCCCCTTTTCCGCAGGGCAGGGGTCCCCATCTCCACCCTTGCGGTCACTCAGAGGTCACCGGCACTGTTTCTAGCCCAGGGTAAGTATCTCAAGCCGATCTGGTGAGCCCACACTACCAGTCTGTTAAACTTCAATATTCACTACTCCCCAGTTTCAGTGCATGCCTGGAACACCTAAACAGGGTTTTGGCACATGAGTAACAGGATAACATATAGTTTTGTTGGTCGTATTGTACAATGGATCAAACCTGAGAGAATCTTTCTGACTTAATTTTGTTTGGTCCACTTAGGAAAAATGAGATGAAATGGGGATTTATGTTATTTTTACAGAGCATTTGCTAGTTCCTAAACTGCAGTACATCACTGTAATGTCAGTGGCTTTATTGATGGTACACCCATTGGTAGTCCTTCTGAGTATGCCTCATGGGAATGTTTCCTAGGCTGGCATGAGTCCATAAATATGTATGCATGCATCACTGGTAAAGAAATTCCCCTTGATTCAATGAGTAGGCTTCATGGACAGATCTTGAAGAGAAGTGATGGGGGTGTGACCACATCCTCTTCAGCACATGCACAATGATTTCTCTGAGCGTCCATGCAACTGTCCAGCATAGGCTCCAGATGAACTCAAGGATTAGACTGCTATGTTTTTAGGAACTTGGTCCAATTGGAATTTCTATGGGAGGAACCAGATTGTTGCCACCAGATCCCCTCTGTCTTCTCCTGTGGAAGCCGAATAGATTCAGGCCCTTTAGTCTATCTTCGTAGGGCCTGGCCTGCTGCCCCCTGACCATGTGAGTGGCCCTCCTCTGGATCCTCTGAAGGTTAACCACATCCCTCTTGAAGTGCAGTGCCCAGACCTGGACACAGTACTCCAACAGTGGCCTGACAATCGCCACATAGGGGAAAGATCACCTCCCTGGACCTGCTCTTGATGCATCTGTAGATGCACAACAAGGTGCGGTTAGCCTTACTGACTCCTTCCTCACATTGGTATTTAATGATAGATTTAAAAGGGGAAGGCAAGGTAGATTTGCACCTTACCACAGTAGATCTAGATATATTAAAACCATGTTAAAATATATTTAAAAGGAGAGCCATCAACAGTAAGTTGATATGATACCTCTGACCACAGTAGATTTCAAATCGTAACACCATACAACCAAAAAAAGTGATTTTATTAACATTTTGCCCATGGCCTTGCATTTGTACAGCAGTCCTAAATGAGAACAAAAATTAATTATGATAAACACTTGTTTATAAAACTCAGGAACCTAAACAAGATGCATGGATAAGTAAAATTCAAACAGGAACTAAAATATGTTGAGATATAGTTTGAATTTTAATCTTTCACAAAAAACTAAAGAACAAAGAGAGATTCAAGATTTATTGGTCTGTTTGTTTTCCTTCATACACACTGAGGGAATAATCCTATATTGGAAGAATAATGCTACACAGTGAGCACATCTACACAAGATGCTAGATGGCCCCAGGCCTAATTCTAGTGTGCATTAGCGGGGCTGGCAAAAACCTTGCCAATGTGCAGTAGATTAGTCCAAAGGGCATTACGCATCACACAAAAAGTGTTCATCTGGGCTAATGCACAATAGCTTTAGGTCAATGGGCATTAAGCGTCACTCAAAAAGCATTTAATGTGTCCTAATGGGCAGTAGCACCAGTTACGGCAAATTAAGTAATTACCTGCTATAGGTACTAAACTTGATGGGCTGTAATTACAGTGCATTAATGAACATGTAGATACACCCAGTGTGTCCTATAGGATCCATGTTAGGATATCATGAAGAATTAAATGTTATAGGAGGCACAACATACAACTGATATAAACTGATGCATTTAGGGCATGTGAAGATGAAATGGGGGCCCTAAATTGAAGCGGTGGGTTTTAAAATGTGGACTGAGAATAGAAGTCAAGAGGTTACAGGGAATCAAGTTCACTATTGCCAAGATGCATTTCTCTTCTAGAATGGGTGGATTTTTCTGAAGGCCGCTTTGACCTCCTTGTTGCGTAGGCTGTAGATCAGAGGATTCAGCAGGGGAGTCACAAATGTATAGAGCACAGCAACCAACTTGTCCTTCCAGAAGTGGCTGGAGGATGGCCAGATATAGCTGCAGCTGATACTGGGGTAGAAGAGGCCAACTACAGCAAGATGTGAGGAACATGTGGAGAAGGCTTTTCGCTTCCCTTCGGAGCCCTGAATTTTCAGGATGCTCCTGATGATAAAACCATAGGACTTGCTGACCAGCAAGACATTCATCATGCCTAGGAAAAGGTTAGCCATTAATGTCATGATTTTGTTGAGGTAAGTTTTGCTGCAGAATATTGCCAGAACAGCAGGATCCCACAGAAGTAGTGCTGTGTAAACCGGGTGCACAGAAATCTAGAAGCAGCATGAGTAGTGTGTGCGAGAGGGAAATTATAGCATCCAGCGCCCAGATACAGGCTGCTAATGTAACACAGATTCTCTTGGTCATGATGGTTACATAGTGTAAAGGATGACAGATGGCCATGTACCTGTCAAAGGCCATGGCACTAAGGAGAATAAGCACTTTTCCTCCTGAGAAGGTGAACTGAATCAGGCAGCCAGTAAAGGAAATGGTTTTCTTTCCCAGTATCAGGTTCTGCATCATTTGGGGCAGAACAGAGAAGGTGCAGACAAGGTCGATTAGAGCCAGGTTAGCAACAAAGAAGTACATGGGTTTGTGCAGAGGCGGGTGGAGGACAATTGCCAGGATGATCAGGGAGTTGGCTTGGACAGCAGCCACGAAGGTGCATAGGATGACTACAAAGAACAGACCACGGAGGTGGGGATAATCAAAGAGTCCTCCAGGATGAAGTCAGATGCCCCGGTTTTGTTATTGGCTTCCATTCATGAAGGCTCTGCTTCTACAACAGTGAGAATTAAAACGTAAACAAGAGTAGCCAACTGAGAAGAAAAATAATGAGGTAGCCCATCAATAGACAGACTTAATATTTTTTTTAACAAAAGTTAAAAAAATTCTAAGCAGACAGTAAAAGTGAGGAAGGGTATTGCTCCAAAGGGAACAAAAAAAGCATTCAGCAACAACAACAAACAAATCCCTAGCCTTTTAATAAGACATTGGCACCCCCTCCACCTATCTCACATGCCCTTCATGTGATCACATATTTAAGACTAGCCCACTGCCTTGCACCGTGAAGTCCCCCCTTGATGGCCCAGTCCAACAAAAATGGGGCCATTCTTTTGTAAGTTGAAGTGCCCAAACATAAAGGGAAACAGAAAGGGCACACGTGTCCAAAGAAGGAACTGAAAGAGGTGGAGGGCTTCATGAGAGCTGAGCCTTTCTAGCTGGTTCCTGCATCACTTCAGAGTCAACATCTTGGTGTGAACCAAGCAGTCCTGATTTGGGCCAAGCAGATCTTGCTCCCCTCAGCAGCTTTGTATGAGACAGAGAAAACGTGTGGTTTCAGAGAAATCCACATCCAGCACAACAGAAAGAGAGCTGATGGAAGCAAGGAGCCATCACAGCCAAGGGGAGGTCAAGGAAGCTATGGAGAAACCCTCCTCCATCTCCTTCTCAAAGTAGGTGCAGGCTGGCAGGAAGCATGGCTGGAAGGGATGTTACAGGGTTATCTACTCCAGCCCCTGATCAAAGCAGGATCACCCCCAGACAAGTTTCTATCCAACCTGCCTGAGAAAACTTCCAAGGCTCTGTGCATTCTGCAACGTCTCCTGGTAGTCTGTTCCCATCTTAATCACCTCCACAGCCAGAAAGCTAGTCCTCATCTCCAACCTAAATTTCCACCACTGCTGTTTGAAGTTGTTGCTCCTAGCCCTGACCACAGAGAAAAGGCCATCTCCATTCTCTCTGTAATAACAGTTCCAGCATTAGACCAATGTTACCAAATACACCCTTTCTTTTTCCAGACTAAGTAAGCTTAGCTCTTTCATCTTTTCCTTATCAATCGTCCAAGTCCCCCTCATTATTTTTGTTACTTTGTGTTGGACTGCT